CCTGCTCCACCCCAGCTGAGCAGCGCCTGCCCCAGCCCCAGCCCCTGCCCCCTTCCTCACCGTGGGGGGTGTTGACCTAAACTGACTGGATCACCCTTCATCTCTAATGATAAGGAAATTTATAATTTATTTCAGTAATAATTTTAGTTCACCTTTGAAAAATGCAGTTCTGACCTAAATTGAAATACATAACATTTAATTTGATCAAGTTAAGTTTAGTTTATCACATTAATTTTATTGACAGCTGTAATAAAATCAATAATCTAAGATTATAAAATAAGATTTTCAAAGACACCTAAAAGGAGGGAGGTCTTGGGTTCCTTACATTACTGGGGAAAATTATAGTCACAAGTTCACAGATATAAGGGCCATTTCCAGTGTCTGTCTCTGGTATGACAGTTATCTCCTTATTGGAGCTTAGTAAGAAAAATAATAATAGGACGATAGGTAACCAAATAAAGAATCATTTGCTCTCTCTATTTCTGTCTGTCTGTTCTGGAAATTTCCAGCATCTCTACTTTCCATTCATGGAAAAACATCTGCTCACTGTGGCTCATTACCAGTGAAATCCTGGTCCCAATAAAATCAATAGGGAATTTTTATTATAATTTCAATGGAGCATGGATTTCACCATTAAAGTCTATATAGTATCTGTGGTGTTGAACTGTCTTCAGCCAAGTTACCCCGGGTTTGTACTGATAGCACTTCAGAATCTTTACCAGTGGAGTTCAAATTCCACTGCTGCTATTTTGCTGTTTTAATTAAACATTTTTTTATCAGTTGCATCAATAAATTCTAACATCTAAAATTATCCTTTCCAGACACAATGATGTTGCATTTAACAAGCTTGTTGAACAATACAGTATACAAATTCATGCAGTGAAGAATGTTAATGACAAACTGAAAGGAGAATAAAAGATTGTTTTATGCTTTCATGATACTCAACTGAGACCTCTAAGGGTGTGGGGGAGTTCACATTTTCCTGGGGTTTTTTTCACATGAGAAATACAGCTGTTGTCAAGTATGTTTTTCCTCAAAGACACTACTCTGGATGTTTGGAGAACTGGAAGCATTGTAACATCAGACAATAAGCAAATGAATCCCAATTAAATGAGAACTGAATTTAGTTTTCATGAGTTGTATTAACTCCTTGGGCCTGAGTCATACAAAGTTCTCTACTAGTGTAAGTATTTAATTAAGGGTTTAATTTTTTACTAATAGAATTATTGTGGTGCAACTCCAAATCTTGAAAGAGTTGCACCAGTATGATTATGCCTTTCCTGGTATAGGTTATTTCCCCCCTCCTTATCTAGTGATAGCCATAAAGGTATAAATATATGTATGGGCTTAATAGTATAGTGTTTACACTAGCACAGTTAAAGCTGTGCAGATTTTGTGTGAGTCACTTGCTTTGGAGATGCCAACATAAAAAGCAAGCAATGCACTGTCACATTCACCCTTTTTTTTTTTTACTAACAAGTCCTTCATGCTGACAATTGGAAGAAAAGCTTTTCTATTAATAATCCAACACCTTAGTCCCTTCAAAGGCTGGAAACTTTCAGTCAGCTTCTCTGGTTCCCTTAAGGGAAGCCTCCAGCAAAATCAGGGAAGACAAAACTCAATATTCCTATTTCCTCCAAGGTATTGAAAATGAATAAATAAAACAAGAAACTCTCCTTCAAGGAAAACCAACCCACACTTTGTCAGGCCTACTTGCAGCACTGCAAAGAAGCCAAGTAGTCATTAACATGTTCTTTTCATTGCTGGTTACCTTTAATGAAAATTCCTGACTATGATTTGACAAATATGTCATTCAAATAAATTAAAAATTCTGATTTGCAGGCTACCCAGCATTTATTGCCACTGTACATTCACTGCCCTTTCTAACACTGTTAGTGGATTTCACCCAGCAATAAGACCTGTCTGGATGGAATCCCACTGACTTCAATTTTACATTGTGAACAATAATTTTAAGACATCTTGTTTAAAAAAAAAAAAAAAAAAAAATCATGCTTCTAGGAGGCTTTGTGCAAGCCCAGACATCTGCTTGGGAAGAGTTGATGGCAGAGTGCAGAAGAGTGCATAATAATATTTCTGTTCCTCAATGTGTGTGCAATGTGGCCAAGTTACTGTTACAGTTTAGACTTCCCCATTCTCCCTGCCATTCACATGTCACTTTAACGTCCCATTAACACCAGGCCACACGCTGTGTTTAGCAGACCTTGCCTATGCTAAAAAGGGACTTCTGGAATTGTTATGGGTATGGACAGTATAACATCTGAAGCATTTCAAATGCTTCAGCCATAGACAAGCGTACAGTAGCCCCCGGCTTGGGGGATGATTTGGGAGGATCTGATTGTCACTGAGTGTCCTCCTGTTCACTCTGCCTACAGTCTCCTTTGACTGTCTGGGGTAAATACAGACAGTGAAAAAGCCCAAGGCTGAATCAATTCAGTCTTTGTACTAAAATGCACAGATTAAATTGAAACAGAAGTGGACAAACATTTACTTTCGATTCAAGGAAATGCAGCCACATGCCTGCAGTGGCTCAGGCCAGAAGCTGTGGGGCACTGGAACATGGCTCTCCAGCTGTGTCTTCACTTCCTTTTCCTGCTACCCCTGAGGTCTCTGGGATTTGCAGTCCAGAATTACAGCAGCAGGACTCTGCAGGGTTGCTCATCACTTCTTATTCCTACTTCTAGGTGCCTCTGGGATTTGTAGTCCACAGTTGCAGCCAGCTGTAAGTTTGAGTAGGTGAAAGAGGGTTTAACTTCCCTCCCTGGCCCCAGACCCCAGCTGGGGTTTGCCGGGGGGGTGGCAAGTTCCCCTGTAGACTGAGCTGTATCCCCAGCTGGGGTTGCCCCTCTGCCCCACTTCTTGTCAATCAGTCCTCACTACTCCAGCTAGGGAGCAGAGGGGTGGGGCCAGCCCTGTTTCCTGGAACAGACAGCACAGCCCACCCAGGGCTGAGAAGCATGCCGGGATGCTGGGGGACTGTGATTTAACTTGAACCAGGAAGGGGTCTGGGACAGAAGTTTCATAGACTGGTTTGACCCAAGTCAGTTAAGTCTGATACTACATTCAACCAGGCTTATCTTAAACCAGTTTCAGCCATTTTGAACCTGGTTTATGTGCACTGAACTTCTGTTCTGTTACAGGTTTAAACCAGTCTCTGATCACTTAAACTGTTTATGTGTGTTTATGTGATCACTTTAACTAGTTTATGTGTAACTGCTGTCCCTAGCCCTGAGTGGTTATGAACTGGGAAAGGCATTGTGAGCCAAAGGCCCCTCTAATTGAGAAGGGGAAAGCACAGCAGGGTGGCTTGGCTATGTAGGAAGGCAAGCAGCTGGGCCAAGATTAGCTGCACAGCAGTAAGCTAGGGGAGTAGTGCAGATTCCCAGGCAGCAAGAGGATAATAGCTGCAAGCAGCAAGGCTAAGCTGCAGCAGGGAGGGGTAGGCTGCCCTTTAGATCAGTGCTGGATTTAGGCTTAAGCTACTTAAATTTCTAAGATATAGTTTGGGGCCTCACAATATGAGGGGCCTCCAAATAAGAAAAAAAAAACCTGAGTCAGTATCAGGTTTTATAATAAGCAGTCGGTAAATAAAGGCGATATGGGAAAATGACTTTATAAATATGGACGTTTTTGTTTGAATATGACAAAAATATACATACATTGGAGTATTCTTGTTGCATGGGGCCTCTTAAACTGGACATAATTTAGGGCCTCAGCATGTCATAATCTGGCACTGCATTAGATAGAAGGAGAATCCCCTGTGTGGGATTAGGGAGTCACCAGACCAAAGCGGGCAGGGCTCTGGGGCATATATACCCAATGCCTGGAGGAAGGCAAGCAGGTCCCCATGCATTGCAGAGAACAGACATCCCAGGAGAGAGGGGCTGCAGGAGATGCCCTGGGAGGCACCAAAACACCCTGAGAACAGAGCTGGCAAGAAGTTATTTTTACCCAGAGTGGGGAGTTTTAGTTAGAAAGCAGTGGCTTGCATTTTTGTTTTAGTTTTTTACTGGAGAACTGGGTTGTGGCTATGGGGGAGATCTGGAGACAACAGAGGTGCCTGAGGAGCACCCAGTTTAGATTCTTGCCTGGATCAGGGGCTCCAGGGGGCTAGCGCTGCGACAGAGAGTAGCCTTGCCTGGGTCAGTGACCCCAGGGGCTGGAAAAAGACAGGGTGAGACCAGACCCAGGGGACCCAGAAGCCAAGACCCAG